ATCTCGAACATCGAGATTGTGTGGAAAGAAAGAAAGATAGGAAAAAAAAAAATCAAAAGAGAGAAAGAGAGAGAGAGAGAGAGAGAGAGAGAAAAGACTTCGTCGTTATATCAAATTGAAAAATAATATCAAGAGCAAAGTGCAACATAATTGCTCGTGCATTGCCTCGCGTACTCGATACACGTCCAGCAAGATAATTACTAAGTTCCACTCCTCCTTCTCGCACGTCGTCGTCGTCGTCGTCGTCGTCGTCGACATCGAACGACGACTATCGACTTTTAATAATCGACCGCGAAACTCGTTAAGATTCCTCGGATCGATTGGCTTAATGCGACCATTTTTCTTCTAATTACCGCGATATCGAGAACTCAATCGTAAAAGAATGTATCTCCGAATCATGAAACGTTTAATATTATAACATTTTCGTTTTATGAATATGTATATAAATATGTATATAATATGTGTAAGGTATACACGGATCCGACAAACTACGATGATATTTGTTGAATAGGGAAAATAATATTGAAAAAGGATTTTCTGTCGGTCCATTTCGTTAATAAAACGTATGTTTGCCAAATAATCCTAATGAGTTATCGTTCGATATGTATTTTCATGAACAAAATATTTTATACCGTACTCCAAGTACGTGTGTGTGTGTGTGTGCACATAGAAAAAACCATTATAAAAGCAAGCTTTTCATATATTAAATCGTTAATACCAACGTTGTTAGGTTCGAAACAATAATAACCTTTCAATATCACGTGAATAACATGTTTTTTTTGTAGAAAATGCAAAAAGAAAAAAAAAAAAACCAGAAAATAACAACATTGAAAGGTAGAATTTATCCCATTATTCCACCATTTATTATTTTCTTTTTTTTTTTTTTTCAAATAAACCTTTCCCTTTCTCTGTCCCTTTCCCTTTCTCTGTCCCTTCCCATAAAAACGATAAATCACGCGTGGAATGAATCGAAGTAACCGAGCAAAAAGGAAAAGAAAAATCTAGAAAAATAAAATAAAATAAAAGAAAAGAAAAAAAAAAAAGAAAACAAAAAGCTAGATAAATACTTAAAACGTGATTTCGGAGATTCTCGGGAAGAAACGTAAAGGCAACGAAACGCCTCCGCGTGACACGAGAGGTATTACAATGACGAACGGACGTCGCTTGAGTTAATAGTCGATGCGTTAAGGTTTAATAGCTTTGTATGAGGCGGAAAAGGGAGGAGAAAAAAGGACCTACGTGCGAGACACCTACGCACGGGCAACTCCTCTTCCACGCACCTGCACGTCCATCGTTGAACGATGTTTGAGAGATAAAAAAGAAAAAGAAAAAGAAAAAAAAAAGCAGGAAAAGAAAAAGGACTCAACGTATGTACGTAGAAAAATGTCAACGAGCGGATACACGATCGAAGGATTCGTCTGGGAAATATTATTCTTGATGAACGATCTTGCTGCGAAAACTAGCCGGCATGAAATCTTTGTTCGAGTGTCGAGACACCAAAAAAAGACCATTATCCCATTAGAATAAATGTAAAGTAGAAAACGAGTAGGTCGATGCTCCCCTCCTCTCTTCCCCCTTTCTCATTCCTTTTGCTCCTCACTTCCCTCGTTCCTATTCCTCCCCTCCTCCTCCTCTGTTCTCTTCTTCTCTCCTAGATTCCGATCTTCTCGCTACCGTTACTAAAGCTGTAACGCAGGGGGTGGAAAATCGGAGGCAGTACGGGGAACGGTAGGGCGCATTTACATGATATGAATATAATGGAGAGGGCTGCTGAGTCATTCGTACAACCCGAGCGTGCTTCGACCTAGCAACTTCGAGAGCGCTACCTGTTGAACGAATGGAGTTCAAACCCTTGCTGACCTATAGGATATATTCGTGGGGTCTTCAGTATCGTCCTTTCCTAATCGTTACTTTCTCCCTGTAATTCGATTTCATTATAGATTTGAATTTTCTTATTTTTTATCATCCGCGTTTTGTATTTTCTCTTTTAAAAAAATAATCGTCCAATTTTTTTGTATTTTTTCAAGCGTTCTGTTTCTCGTATTAAAAGTTTCTTAATAATGCAACTATATATATATATATATATATATATATATATATATATATACGTATCGTACAAAAATTTGTATTATTAGAAAAAGAACCAAAAAAAAACTGATTTGATTCTTTTGATAAATTATGAAATTTTTTTTTTTCGTTCTCGTATACTTTCCATTAAACTTTGAAAATATTTCATGAAATATAGAGAGAACGAGTTAACTGAAAGTATTGGGAACTCCAGACAGTCTGAGGAAGATGAGTTGATCTCGAGAAAAAAAATTTGAAGAACGGGAAGCGCCGCAGGAGATGAGAATTTTTAATATAGAAAAAGAAGATGAGACGGGTTTGAAGCTAATCCAGTTACCGATTTCCATCGAGATACTATTAACTCTACGCCTTTCTGGTTGCTTTGAACGCACATATTGAACTGACGAATTACTTATTTCCTCTTTTTTTTTATTTAACTTCGAACTAATACCAATACTTGTATTCATTTAACAAAAGGAAAGGATAAGGATAATTTAAAAATATGTGCAACATGAGAGTAGGAAGTGCTCGAATGAACCAAACGTGTAATTCTCCGAAAATAGTTTATCAAATTATTTACATAATAAATTCAACTGTCAATATACATTAAAACTTAATTGACAGATTTCAGATATCATCCAAAAATCACTAATATAATTTTGTATCATTTTATATTGACTTTAATTAATACAATATCATAACAATAATATCTATATTTTATAACATATTCGTAGATATTCAACGAATTTCAGTAAAAAATCTATAAATATAGAATCAATGTCTATAAATCTAGTGTTATAGAAAAATAGATGAAAAAGATTTTCAAAGAATGATTTTAAACGTACATATAGGTATTGTTCGTGTTGTATCGAATATTAAGTAAGAATATTTCTACAATGCGTGCGTGAAACCAGTAGTTACACAAAGAGAGGAATGAAAGATAGAGAGAGAGAATGAAAGAGAAATAAGAAAGAGAAGAGATGATAGTGTACGTCTAGCGTTTAGTCGGGGTCGTCGAGTCACGATTAATTTCAATTCTTGTCGCACAAGTACTTCCTACGAAAAGACGACGCGAACGGTGAACGTCGTCGATTACAAAAGAATCCCGAAGGATCGAAAGAAAGAAAGGTCGCGAGCTCTGGTAAGAATCCACGAATGGGGAGGGAGAGGCGCCACCGTCCCGTCACGAGACCATTCAAATCGTTTCAACTCGAACCACGACCGTTTAAAGACGATCATATGTCGCCATACGTCCGGATAACATATGCTACGTGAGCAAAGATCTGTCTTGTCCCTCCTTTCCCATCCATCCCGGAACACAATGTATATACCTACTTCCTACGGCTTTTCAAAACGAGGCTTGTTTATACGTATGAGACGCATACAATGTTTCTGAAAAAGATTATTCTATTCAAATAGAAAATGATCAATATTTCAATTAATTAATAATCATACCACATACGAATATTTCATATTAAAATAATTAAAAGTATTAAAATAGAAATTATTGAAATTTGATCAAAAATTAATTCGATAATATTATTAACTCATTTGCATTATTAGTATATATACGTGCAATTTTTTTAATCCATTTACAAGTAAATGAGCTGTGAGATGATATTGCGTTGTATAGTTCTAGTAATGAATAAAAATGGAAGATGCTATTAGTGATTGTAATATTAGTGAAGTAGTAATTACACTACTGAAAATTAAAATTAATATTATTTTATATATTTCCTTAAAATGTGCAAAAAAAAATGAGTTAATATATTATAATTATTGAATCTGAGTATAATAAATCGATCTAAAATATATGATTAAATTTTCAACCACTTTTTATACATTCATATCAAATATAAATAAATCTTTTTTTTGATAATCCATAGAATTATTTTTACTCGATTCGATGTGAATTTGCCGTTTCTTGATTAGGGAAAAATTTGCATATTTACCTTTTAAAAATTTATATTTCGAAATAATAGAACGAGACGGTGTATTATACATATAGCTTCGAAATACGTACATAATATAGTAGGATTATTAAAGAGACGAGTTCTTCTAAGGCGTCTAAAGTTAAAACGAAAAAGATGGCTAAGCCTTTATACGGCAAAGCGAACCAATTCTGAAAAGAGCTTTCTCATCTCTCTCTCTCTTTCTCCCCTAATATTCGCCCGTTTAAACCACATGCGATTTACACTCACGTTCACGCGAGTAACGCCGTTCTCGTATCGTGCCGTGAAAATGCGTACCTTAGATCAAAGCTTTAGACATAACGCAGGTAACTTGCGTAAGCTCTACCCAAGGAGGGCTCTGATATCTTTTGAAAGTTTTTTAGAAAGAGAGAGAGAGTGAGAAAGAGAAACATAGAACCAGTCCGCTAAATCTTTTCATTAAAAAACACACTAAGAAGAAGATCTAAAGATTGTACGAGAAAGAAAGATATAAGTACGGATTTATACAAAAAAAAAGAAACAAATAAGATATACTACTGTACACAGCTTTCGTGTGAAAATTAACGCAAGACTTTTCAACTTTTTACTTTTGTATATACCTATGTACATACACCACGAACTCTTTTATGAGAAAACTATTGCATCTCTTAAGTTTCGGATTATCCCTCAACGTCCTTTCAATTTTCTAAGAAAATATGAAAAAAAAAATGATGAATTATATCTATTCTTTCTAATAATAAACATATCGATTAACTATATGATAATTAATATTATAAACACTTTATGTATAATATGATAAAGTTCGTTTAAAAATAATTACAATAATGATAAGATATCAAGGATCGAAGATACTTAAAAAGGTTAAACAATAAAATCAGATGATGATTAGAAATAATATGATAAGATGATGATAGAGAAAAAAATAAAAAGGACATGTATAAGAATAGGGAAAAAAAAACGATAAAGCGTAATAAGACTGACCTTGCAAAGAACGCTGCGGCTGCGCTGGCCTGTGCCGGTGTTCCTGGCACCCCACTAACGTTGTAAGAGTACTTGGTCTCCTGATAAACTTGATACGCGTTCTGCGGCTTCGAGTGTGACGATCTATGATAATAATGCTCCCCGTAGGGACTTTTCTCAGTTTGACGATCGACGACGTTTGGAACCTTCAAGTATGCCTGCATAGCTGGAGATGAAGAGGACGTCGAACCTGACGACAATTTCGCGTGACATTTCTCATGAGAAACCTTCTCCGGTGCACCATGTAAATGTGACTTCTCGTGAGACGTAACGATTGGCTTGTCGATCGTACCGTAAGATTTAAAATCATAGCCTTTCAACTCGCCGTAATACTTGAGATTTTCGACCTTGAATCCATGATTAGAGTCGTGATTCGCCTTGGATTTGGCTGTGTCGTGCTTACTAACGTATCCTACGACGTCCTGCGAGGATTTCATCCTGTCCGTGGACTTCGCAGTGGCCTCGACACCGTGCAGAGCAACCACCTTCGATTGTGGCTTCTCGATCTTCAACATGGATCTATCCACGGGACGACCTTGGACCGCTTCGTTGGCCTTCAATAAGGACTCCACAGCACTCTTATACTTATCGCTTGTACTGGTCAGTTCGCAACATGGGGAGGCTCCACTACCGAAACCATTATTACTTGTCACACCAATGCAAACACCATTGTTACTATTACTCGTATTACTACTACAACAACCATCGGCACAAGGAACACTACTGTTCAAAATTACACTGCCACTACAACCCGATCTAATCTGTTGTTGTTGTTGTTGTTGTTGTTGCTGTTGCTGTTGCTCTTGTTGTTGCTGTTGCTGCTGCTGTTGTTGTAGTGGTAGTTGCTGATGATAACTATGATGATTATGATGATAATGATGATGATGATTATGATGACTGTGATAATGATGACTAGTCTTTGATGACTCACCATGACACTTAGGTGTCAATACTAATTCCGAATCGTCGCTACTATCGCAATAAATATCTTCCTTGTTGCAATTGTTGTTGTTGTTGTTAGGACAACGTAACACGTCGCACGTCTTCTGTTGGAAACGCTGATTACGAACCGACAACACGCGTATTGCTTCACGCGCGGTCGGCGTGATACTGGCTAGATTAGAGGGCGTCTCGGAGCCATGAGTGGAGCCTCCCCTCCCTCCTCCAACCCCTCCTACGACACCAAAGCCGCTACTACAGCTCAAGCCGCCGCAACTCGTGCTCCCTGCGCTGCATCCTCCCTCTCCTGCCCCTGTTGCTGTTGCAGTTGCTGCTGCTGCTGCAGCTGCTGCTGCTACTGCTGCTACTATTCCTCCTCCTACTCCTCCACCTCCTCCACCTCTTACCGCTCCTCCTGTTCCTCCTCCTAAACCTCCTAATCCGACACCCTGACGTCTTGTCCTCTCTTCTTGCTGCAAGTGACAAGGAAATATATGAATCCGTTGCATAGAAAAGTATTCTTAACTCTTCCTACACAACTGAGCTCGAGATTTGTGAATGAATTGGTCAAAGACCAACCACGTGTTGGATCTACTATACGAGAAAGGCATTGCATCTATATGAACGGAGAAACGTGTGAAGATGAAAGAAAACTGTCGTCGACAAATATAATTCATTTATCGTTTTTTCTTTTAAACGTTTTATTTGATTTATTATTTGTAAATTTAAGTAGATTTGTGGATTAACTTAAAATGTGTGTGTGTGCGCGCGTGCGGAATTATAATGCAGTTTAATGTTCAATGTAAAATATTTCGTTATTTATGAAATTTATTGAATTTTACGGTAACGTAATTTCTCTCTTATTTTCGCTTTAAGGCCAGCACGATAATCTTTTTTTTTTATTAAAATTTCATTAAACAGTCGATTTATTTAATTGTAATACGGCTATTTGGATGTTGTAAAAATCAAATAATTTAACACGATGGAAAGAATGTTATGAATTGTAGAAATTTTAATCATCCTATACGTAGGAAATCGATTCGACGTGCTTCCGCATATCGATTGAATTCTGATAATACAATGAAATATTTCAATAAAAACGCAATAAAGTAATAATTATTGTAGAGAAACTTTGGGAAAAGCCACCTGCTGCTTATATTTTTGTAGATACACCACAGTATCTGACAGGCACTCTTTTATTCGACCCGTACGTCTTTGAGCACTTCCTCAAACAATTTTATAAAAATAAGAGAAACATTATAGACGGTAAAAGAATATAATAACTCACCTGTGTTCTTTTCGAATCATCCTGACGTCTAACAATTTCCGAATATTTCGGAGGTTCAGCATGATACTTTGGAGGTGGTTCAGATTTTGGTGGCGTTTCTTGATACTTCGGGGGTCTGTCGTATTGTCGATATTTAGGTGGATCGATGTAAGGATTATTCTGATGCCTATAGTAATCCGGTAATTGACATTCTGTCAAATCAGATTGGGATCTGTTCAACTGATAATTCGGTGGTATCGATGAATTACTTTTTTGTTCTTGATGATTTTGTTTCGCGTGTTTCGAGGTTACAAATTTCTCTTGATTCCTATCTTTTTTATCACATTTATCTTTACACTTGTCCTGCGTGGAAATTGCGTTGGTGCTTGGACCATCGATCTTGTAGAAAGTTAATTCTTTTTTATTACCAGACGCTGATTTATCAGTGCTCGATCGATAAGATTTACTTTGTTGTTGTTGCTGTTGCTGCTGCTGTTGCTGTTGATATTGTTGTGGTTGTTGTTGTGGTTGCTGGTGTTGCTTTTGTTGCAATAATTGTTGTAACTGTTGCTGCTGTTGCTGTTGTTGAGGGTTCTCCAACTTCGGTGGTGGATCGATATGATAGAAGGTCAACTCTCGTGAGTCTTGTGACTTGGATCGTGTTTCATGATACGCATACTGCTGTCTCTCAGGCTGCGAATGACTCCTCGAATATCTTTGCTCGAACTTAGTCAACCCGTCTTGCTGATATCTACCCGTTAATCTTCCCGTTGATCTCTCAGCATTCGAATCAAGCCGAACGGAATTGCGGCCATACTCGAGATACTCATCCCCGTATTTGAAGATCTGCCGTGGCTTGTACTTCTCCTCGAACTGGGAATAGTTGTAAGTGTTGAAGCCAACCTGATTGAAATCCCTACTGAGATTTGAAGAGTCGTAATCTGTTGAAGTTACTGCTTCCACGTTTATCTGAAAAAGAAAAGGATTGTCGTTAAATGAGAGAAAAATTTAAAAGAATAAAATAAAAGAAAATAAAGAAAAGATAGAACAAAGAAGAAAATCAAAGTTTCAGTTTGGAATTTAAGTTCACCCAAAGACAAAAGATAAAGCGTGCTAAGGTATGCATAAGATTCCTTGCTAAGGGTTGATCTGTATAGGTAATACGAAGAGAAACGAGAAAGAAGAAGAAGAAGAAGAAGAAGTCGAAAGTACGATTCACGAGAATGGAAGAAAAAAGAAAAAGAAAACGAAGAAGTTTTCAGAGAGTAGTCTCTGGGGTCATAAATCGGGGAACGTCTTATTCTTAAACGGTCGAGTATTTAGCGTAAAACAAAAAGCCAGCGTTTGCGATAAATAAAATCTGACACCGAGGGGGCGTGTCGTTTTTATCTCTTCCTATTTGCCTCTCTCTCTCTCTTTCTCTCTTTTTCTATATACTTCTTTCTTTTACGGATAAAACACAGTTCTCTGAAGCGGTTAGAATGGGTGCCCCTTGGAGAATGTTCACGCTAGGGCTGGTCTAGAGGTGGTATAAAAGATAAAGTCCTTCAACTATAAGTCGATTCTTTATATTTAATGAATCACTTTTCGTTTCCGAAAATCTAGAAGAGAATTTGAAGTAAGGCAAATAAACTTATTGTTAAAATAAAACATTTTCCTATATTTTTTGTGGTTTATTTTTTCTCTTTTTTTTTTTTTTTTTAAATATTAAACTTCTTCAATATCATAGAATTTTGTTCGTTATAAATATTTCCCGATAACACAAAGTTGATAGAACATTTATAGTTTTTATTGATCGAAAGTCACGAAGCTTTAGTCGAGACGATGATCTTAAATCATCGTGTAACGTCGAGTATAAAGCTATAACTTCCTCACGAAGGATCGAAAGCATAGCCTCCGGGCTATGGTTATATATCATGCTCGGTAATGAAGACTACAACGGCGTGCTACCGACGTGGTTTTATATATCAGCTCACTTAAAGTATACTTACACGTAGTATTAGTATGAAAGAATAATATAATATATTGTTGTGCATCGTTTGAACAATATTTTTGATTAAATTGTTATTATTTCGTTATGTGTAAAAAAATATCGAAAAATTTATTTTAATACTTTCATACAATTCATTGTTTCATTTTTGCCCCCACACGTATACCTATGGGTAATATATTTTTTTTGTAACATTTTGTAGTTTCAAAGTTGGAGCTTGAGTTTCAAACAAAAATTTCCAACGATTCGTTTGCTTTTGTTCTGTTATTCCACGATTGCAAAAAAAAACAGGAAATAATTTTTAATTATCGAAATACACGTTGAAATGTGACGTTCGTGAAACTTGATAAATCGTAACATTGTTCCGTCTACTGTCATTCATCTTAATCTATCAATTTTCGGTGTAAAACATGTATTCGGGACAGTGCAACGAATTGTCTCTGCAAAATTCATGCGTTTGAATGGACGATAATCGTTTTTTTAATTTTAAAACCTATGTCAGATTTTAAAATAATTCAATAATGCTTCTTTAATCATATTTTAAATTCGATTCTTTTTTATTTCTATAAATTATTATTAACTTTAAATACTACACACACACTTAGAGTATTACTAATTTATTATCTTAATTCCCTATTAAGGATTGATCACTATAACACATTCGAATAGAAAATTCCTGATGCATGCAGAGACAAATCAATGGTGCATAGGGACATCAAAGTGATCGGGAACAACCATAGAATCTTAATGCGACAAAGACATATAAACGATACTGATGAAAGAGAGAGAGAGAGAGAGAGAGAGAGAGAGAGAGAGAGAGAGAGAGAATCGATCGATGTTGGACTAGTCGGTAATACTACTCGATCGCTAATTGACCCTAATCTCTCCCTAGAGTGACGAGGATCAGCAGCGTAACGATGCCCTTTGGCCAACGAGCTGCCTTTGAAGGCTTTGATTTCTACTAAAAAAAAAAAAAAAAAGAAAAAAAAAAGAAAAAAAAAAAGAGAAAAAAAATAAAAAAGCAAAATTTTAAAGATAGCCAAACAGCTCGTACATGGAATCGAGATCTAAGGGAACCTAGTCGTAAGATTTTTAGTTTCTCTTGAGAATTGGTGAATTGTTCGTTTAAACGTTTTCCTTTTTACCTTTTTAGTACCCTTCTCTCAAAAGGGATAGAAAAGTAGAAAAGAAGAAGAAGAAGAAATACAAAGGAGAATAAACGATTGATGAAAGGGGAAAAAGGAAAAAAAGAAAAAAAGGGAAAGAGAATACGAATAGAGAGTGAAAGTGAAGGATGGTAATCTCAATTCCGAACGTAGTAGCCGTGTAAACGCAACCGAAAACAAATTTCAGCGTACAAACACGAAATAAAGGTAGGTACCTAACGAAGTTCATTCCAGCAGTCTGACTAGTTACCGACTTCTCTCTCCCTTTCTCTCTTTCTCTTATTACGGAAAGCAGAAAAGTGACGAACATATTCAAAATGAATTCAACCTCTTGTCTTCTGATCTCGATATTTTACCCGAGATTTCTCGATCCTTTCAACAAACTTTCCGTTTAATATTCTTACCATTGCAATTTACATAGTTATTTTACTCGGTACGATAATTATTTCCATGGGAAATGAATTTTCTTGAATTTTCCACTTTCCACCATTTCAATCTTTTCACATTTTCACAAACAAGAAATTATTAACACATTTTTTTAGAACGAATTTCTTTCGAAACTTTTTTTATAGAAATCAAATAGATTAATCTTTCGGTTTGTTTTCTCTTCAAAAAGTATCAAGATAATAATAAATAAATGAGAAACCACAAAAGGATATAAAACGAAATCTTGTTGCCTGTGGGCGAATGTATAAATGATATATGTTATATGTGTACATATATGTGTATCGTAAGTGAATATGTCATTTTTAGCCTGAAGGGATATTAAGAAAGAGAGAAAGAAATGAAGAAAAGAGGGTTATGTATAGGATTTTTACAGCGGACTGACCTGTCTCAATGGCAGCTTTTTTACCCTACTGCACGGCCAATCAAATTATAAGCGCTCGGTTGGACGCTCGAATGAAAATCTTCGTCGATTCTATTACACGTTTTATTTCGAAATCGAATGAATCTCTCTCTTTCTCTCTTTCATACACATACTATCTTTCATAGCGAGTAGAAAAGAAAATTATTTCGACTAGCCGAACGCGATATCGAACAAGAGAGAAGCTTTTTATTATGATTTTGTTCGTAAAATTCTCTTTTTTTTCTCTCTCTCTCTCTTAATCTTTCTCTCTTTGTAGTGTCTCGTTGGAAATCACTTTGAAAGAAATACCACGATCGAACTTTCACGTTGTTTTAATCGAGAAAAAGAAATAAGAAGGGAAGGATATAAAAAAGAAAAAGAAAAGAAAAGAGAATACCCAAACGTCCCCATGAGAAAGCTTCAAAGAAAGGTCCGACCATCGTCATCAGGAATTCGTCCTCTTTCATTGTTTTTTTTTTTTTTCCTTCTTTTTTGTTTTCAGGGAAGAAAGATGATTATTCGCGAGAAGAGAGAAACGAATGAGGAAAGGAAGAAATGAAAGAATTACAAATGAACGTCGAGGGTGGCATACGATTCAATCTTCGACGCGCAACAGACACGACACGACGATCGAGAGGATCGAACATCATCGTAAATATAACGAACAGGTGAATACGAGCTATGGGGTATGTCTTTTTAATATAAAAAAGTCAGTATATTTCTTTGAAGAGAGTGAAAGAAGTAGAATCGTAAAAATGGATGGACTTACTGACTGACTGACTGACTCGTTATATGAAAAAAAAAACAACGAGAGTAAAGAGATAGAAGTCTGGATAAAAAGAAAGTTTGAGGATAACGAATGAACCTTGCAAAAAGATATAATAAAAAAAAAAGTGAAGGGGGAAAAAAGAGAGAGAAGGAATAAGGGAGAATGAGAAGGACCAAGCAATCTCTTACGGTTGAGTTTGTTTTACTCAGGGACGTGGTCTCGATCACTCCAAATAATCATCGCACCACACGCGAGTCTTTCGCATCATCGCATCAACGAAAATGAGAAGAAGAACGACGAAGTGAAAAATCCCTAAAAAGGGACGACGGAACGGTGTAAGAAGAGTGTATGAGAGAGAGAGAGAGAGAACAACAAAAGAAGAATGTCGACGTAATGATAAAAGCAAGGAAAAGCGAACCGATGTCATTGTCGTTTAAAAAAAGACTTCCTTTTATCCACGAAAAAATCGTCCAATCTCTACTTGTCCATCTTGTGGCGACCAGTGCACTGACAAAAGGTCTGTCTATCCTGTGTCCGACGAGACTAGTCTACGAGTAATATTTCATTCCGTCTTCTATTTTGTTTTCTTCTTCTTTCCTTCCTTCCTTCCTTCCTTCCTTTCTTCCTTTTATTTTTGTTCTCTTTTTTTAACATTTTTCTTTTATCACGCGAAACACGCGAGGATGAAGCACATTTTCTAACTCATTAATACTACTGGATTCTCCCTGTGTGGAATACGAGTTTTATTGTATTTCCTCGGTAAAAAATGCATGTATCGTAGAGATAACACAGAGAGAAGGAGAGTGGTTTAGTTCGCAGCACGGTTCGTCTAATCCTGTTTTTCCAGCGGTGGAAAATCACGCAATTAGTAGATTAGAGAGATGATCATGCGTATTGCAGAACGGTAACCCTCGCGAATAACAACCACGTACAAAAGGCTCATAAGCCTCTCAGGGAAACTGGTTATTTTTCTTTCATTAGACGAAGGTATTCGCGCTCTTCGTTTTATCATATTCGCTACGTGCTCACAACGAACGAACGAACGAACAAACTAACGTACGTTGCACGCTGCACGTTTCACTTTTGTGGCTTGTGTATATGTACGAATATCGAGAAACGAGAGAATACACAGTAACCACGAGTGCGAAAGGTGCGTATAAAACGGAAAGGAGTTGTAACGAGTATCTTCCATGTAAT